CTGCTCTGTGAGTTCGAGGCCAGCCTGGTCTACAAGAGCTAGTTCCAGGACAGCCTCCAAAGCCACAGAGAAACCCTGTCTCGAAAAATAAAAAAAAGGGGGGGGGGAGTGCCTGGCAGTGGTGGTGCACACCTTTAATCCTAGAACTCCGGAGGCAGAGACAGGTTGATCTCTGTGAGTTGAAGAGCAGCCAAATCTACAAGAGCTAGTTCCAGGACAGCCTCCACAGCCACAAAGAAACCCTGTCTCGAAAAACCAAAAAAGAAAAAAAAAGAGGGGGGTTGCCAACACTAGTAGGGGTTTCCTTTCTTTTCTCTTCTTTCTGTTTTTTTTTTCCTCCTCCGTTCTGGGACCTAAACCCAGGAATGCAAGAGGGTCTAGGTGAGCTTCAGATCCAGTCCTAGGAGAGGGTCTAACAGAATTAGACAGAGTACCCATAATGCTATTGCTTCCCTTCCTGAAAAAGCAGCTTTTTTCTCTCCTCTCCTCTCCCCTTCCCTCCCCTCCCTCCCTCTCTCCTCTCCTCTCTCTCTTCTCCCCTCTCCTTCTTCCCCTCCTCCTCCCCTCCCCTCCCCTCTCCTTCCCTCCCTTCCCCTCCCCTCTCCTTCCCTCCCCCTCCCCTCTCCTCCCCTCTCCTCCCCTCTCCTTCCCTCCCCTCTCCTTTCCTCCCCCCTCTCCTTTCCTCTCCTCTCTCCTCCCCTCACACCATTCTCTGCCCATCTTCCTTTTCTTCTTGTGTCAAAACATCAGCCAACCTCAAGGCTCAGTGACTTTTAATGCCCACTTGGACTTTCTTACATCAGCATTGTCCAATCAGTAGCCACAGTCCTAGGTGGCCATTCAGTCCCTGAAATGTGGTTGATCCAAACTGAGACAGGCTGAACTGTAAAACACTTACCATATCTTAATGACTTCCTGTGAAAAATAATGTAAGAATAATAAATTTTTAGGATATCAATTATGTTTGGGGATAATGATGATTATATTACTGAAGACAATTCCACTGTTTTTCTAAAATTATTTATTCATTTGTTTTTTTGTTTTCTTGAAACAGTCTCATGTAACCCAGGCTGACCTTGAACACCAGTAGCCAAGAATGACCCTGGACGCCGGGCGTTGGTGGTGCACGCCTTTAATCCCAGCACTTGGGAGGCAGAGGCAGGTGGATCTCTGTGAGTTTGAGGCCAGCCTGGTCTACAAGAGCTAGTTCCAGGACAGCCTCTAAAGCCACAGAGAAACCCTGTCTCGGAAAAAAAAAAAAAAAAAAAAAGAATGACCCTGGATTTCTTGGTCATTTTGCCTCTGCATCCCATGTACTGGGATTATAGAAATGTGCCACCATACTATGCTGTCCTTTTTTAAAAAAATTTATTTCATGTGCATTGGTGTTTGCATTTATGTATGCCCGTGTCAGGGTGTTGGATCCTGAACTTACAGACAGCTGTGAGGGCTGGGAATTGAACTGAGGACCTCTGGAAGAGCAGTCAGTGCTCTTAACCACTGAGCCATCTTTCCAGCACCCCCCCCCAAAAGACAACTAAAATTCCTTTTTAATCTTAGATTTGCTAAGAATGGAACTCGGGACCCTTCTGCAAGTCCGCTAAACTGAGGGACGCCTCCCCCCAGCCCTCTGGATTGTTTTTAGTGTAGCTAGCAAACAATGAGAAGTTACATGTGTGGCTCACATTTCTGGTTCATATGTGGACAGGAAATGTTTACTGAGCAGTTGTGGAGGTCAGAGGACAACTTTTGGGAATCAGTTCTTTTTCCACCGTGTGGGTCCTGAAAACGGAATTCACTCACTGGGCCATCCCTATTACATTTTTGTGTCTGTTGTCTTGCATGGGGGTATCTGACACAAGGCTCACTACACTCCTGTGGGGTGGATGTTGTGACTATCTTTACAAAGAAGTAAATCCGAGGGAGAGCATGACCTGCCCAAGGTCACAGCTGGGCACTCACAGATTCCAGTTTCCAACCAATACTGTGTGACTCCAAAGTCTATCTTTGGTGGGTAACCTTGCTACCCAGGTTACTCTGCAGGGTGTCTAGAGCGGGAGTGTACTTGATTAGACCGACTATCAGTGATAAAAGAGTCATTCTAATCAGAAGCCAGACTGAATGCTTGGTCTTTTGTGAAGGCAAAACGAGAAAACAGATTAACATAAGCAACACATCGCTATCTATGGACTCTTGGGATGTGCGAGTGGATAACAGACTGAGGACCACTGCTCTGATCAAACCCCTCATCTTACAAGTGTGGAAACTGATGCTCGGGAGGAGGGTGGGTTTACCAAGGGCTCCTCTATGCTGGCAGTCCTTGGAGTTGTGTTTGCGGGAATCCCAGGGTGAGATTCCTTGGGGACTTCAGTCTACTAGGAAGGTTTCTGTCCCCAGTCACCTGGAAGTCTTTTTCTTGAGCCAGTCCCCTTCCTCCCCTAAAACTGTCCCAAGACTACTAGAACCGAGGAGGGGGACAAACAACCCACTTCCCATCGTGGTCCCAAGGCCACCATCCGGTCCTGGGCCAGGAATTCCTTTCAGAGACTTAAACCGGGATGAAAATAATTGTGAACCTTTGGAGGTCTCCAAGGGCCGCCTGCTCCATTTCTCTCCCGATTTAGCTGGCTCAGTTTCCCTAAGTGTCTTTCGCGAGGTGGGCCTAGACCCCACAGCTCTGCCCCCATCTGCTCTCGTACGTGGTGGGGAGGTGTTAAAACAATCACCTACCTCCCCTGTGCCCTCTTCCCAGCCTGTCCAATGGGGCAGGAGAAAGGGCATCAGAGGCAACGCTGGATCCATCAAACCCCGGAACCCAGGAAGCCACAGGCAGAGGCAGAGAGGGCGCCACTGAAATAGAGGCGCAGAAACAAAGGCTCAGAAAGAATGCCTTGGACAAAGAGGGAGACTCGGAAAAAAGGTCTCGGGACGGCGACGAAGGGGCCAGAAATGAGGGAAAGAGATGGGAGAAGCAGAAGAGAGAGAGAAAGGAGGGGGAAGATGGAGAAGTCAGAGTCTGAGAAAAGGGGCTGAGTATGGAGACAGCGCTGGCAGGGGACTCGGGCGCGCGGGGCCGGGCGCGGGTCCCAGGTCCCCAGGGGCGGACCCTGCTGGCGGCGCCTGGCTCCGCTGCGGCCGTCGGAGCAGCCACATTCCTCCGGGTTTCCCACACATTCGCCATCAAAGCGTCCCCAAAGCCCCAGCTTTTCCCGCGCCCCTCCCCCGCCACTGGCTGGAGAAGCTATTTTTCACCCCCTCCTGGTCTTTAATCTGTTGTGGGAAAAGAAAGCGGCTTTTGTTGAACGAGGGGCTGCGCGGGGCGGGGGGGGGGGGGGGTGAGGAGGCGCGGGCGATTGTGTGTCCCGCAGCTGCGCGCCAACGCTGGGGTGGGGGCTGCCGGGGTGCAGGCCGAGCTGGGGCTGCCCGGGAAGGTGGGCCAGGGCGGTAGTGACTGCCTGGTCTCGGGGTGCAGGCCAAACTGGGGCTGCCCATGAAGGTGGGTTGGACCTATAGGGTGTAGGGACAGCTGGAGTGCGGGTGCAGGCAGGGAAGACGGCAGTGGAGAGGGAGGGAATGGAGGAAAAATCCAGCAGAGTCCTCTCGCCATTGTTCTCTTGGCCAGGAGATTGCAGGAAGATGGACTTATACTGGGCTGGGCACAGCAGCCCTGCGAAGGACTGAGCGCGATTAATGTTTGGTTTTCATGGGCTGCGGATAGAGCCCACGGTTTCTTGTATGCTATCACTCTACCGATGAGCGGCATCATCCTCAGCCAGATAGTTGGCATTTAAGTCCGGCTGCAAGCAATCCTCACCTGGGGACCAGACATGCAACTAGCACCCAGGAGGTCTCACTCCAGAGAGCGGAACAACACATGCTCACATTCAAAAGCACACATGCTGCCTGACCCCAAAAGTTCTCTGGGGTTTCAAAGGGGTTTCCTTCGATTTCCATGCCCTCCCTAGTCTGCAACCCTAGCTTTCCTGCCTCACAACAGCTAGCTGTGTGACTGTGGTCAGGTGACCTCCCCTCTGCACCTCAGTCAGTGTGAGGATACATGTCAAATGCCTGCTCAGTTAGGTTTGGTGGGACACAGCCTCTAATCAGAGCGCACAGAAGGCTGGGGCAGGAGGATGGAGAATTTAAGGACAGCCTGGGCTACATAACAAGGTACTGTCGCATAAAACATAAAAAAAAATGAAATGTCAAATTAGTGGTTGACACTAAGCTTGGTGACTCAGGAGCAATGTGGCCTGCAGGAGACTGCCTGTGAATTACAGCCCAGTCTCTGCCTGCTGTCACCCCAGCCTTTCCAGCGGCCCAGTTGGGGGGAGATACCTTTCCTCTGGCGGGGGCAACCCTGTCTTCAGGCTCACCCCTCCCTCCCCTCCCATCTTCCCCTGGCAGCTTTGGAAACGCTGCTGGGCCCCAGGCCAAAGCAGGACAATGTCTGGGCAGGGTGGACCCTGTTCTTCAAGGTCTTTCTTGTCTTCGTCTTGCCTTGCCATGGACTCTGGGTCTCACCATCCTTCCGGGGCCTTTCCTGAAGCCCAAAACTCCGTTAGCTATCTGCTGTAGAGAGAGTGCCTTCTGCCTGGGAGCCACAGGACCAAAGGACAACCCGAATTTGCACTTTCACATTTTAATTTTGTCCGCAGTGCTGGATATCAAACCCTAGGGCTGCTTCACCTCTATGTTATACCCCACCCTGCAGGCCAGGGCGTGGTGCTGTGCACTTAAAATCCCAGCACTCAGGGGGCAGAGACAGGAGGATCAGCACAAGTTACAGGTTAGGCTGGTGAGTTACCTGTGAGTTCCAGGACAGCCAGGGGTACAAGGACCTGACTCAAAAGATCAAAAACAAGGTTAAGAACAAATCCTATCTCTAAATGGTGGTATGCCCAAAGGGCTTGTGATTACTGGGGTAGAACTGAACTCAGTTGTCACTAATTTCTTTCTTTCTTTCTTTCTTTCTTTCTTTCTTTTATTTGTGTGTGTGTGTGCTCACTTCAGCCAGCACGTATACTGAAGTCAGAACAATACAGAGAAGATTAGCATGGCCTCTGAGCAATACCTGAAAATCAGTGATGAATGCTGTATTAAAAATTCTCGTTACAGTCAGGTGGTGGTGGTGGTGGTGGTGGCACACGCCTTTAATCCCAGCACTCTTGAGGCAGAGGCAGGTGGATGTCTGAGTTTGAGGCCAACCTGGTCTATGGAGTTGCAGAGTGAGTTCCATGACAGCCAGAACTACACAGAGAAACCCTGTCTCAAAAAAAAATACTAGTATTATAGTGTGTGGGTATTTATGATGCATGTAAGGCTATGCACATCACAGCACCAGTGTGAAGGTCAGAGGACAGCTTTGTAGAATCGATTTTCTCATTCCACCTCACATGAATTCAGTTTATCCACAGAGGTATTTCACTAACTTGTGGAGATCCTCCTGCCTCTGCCTCCAGGGTGCTGAAATTATCAGTGTACACCACCAGGCCCCAGCCTGCAGGATTTACAAGAGACACAGATGAATCCAAGGTCTTCTTAGGCTACCTAGTTAGACTTTCTCAAAAACGCCTCCAGCTTCCCCTCAAAGAAGTGGTCAGGTGCTTCATTCTGTCTTACCTAACCAAGCCAGGGGCAGGGCCAGCCCTGGGGAATCCCATGGTCACTGATCATTTGGTGCATAAGTTAATAGGGGTTAGTTAGCTTTAGAGTGGTGTGGCTGGAGTAAGCATGGCTGAAAGATAGAGAAGGCAGTCAGCTCCAAAGTTGACCCTAAATTTAGCAGTGGTCGCCGCTGCTGTGTTACGTCAGAGGAAATGTCACTGGAATGTGATAGAGTGTCTTTAGCATGTGCGTGACTCTTGGGTTCTATCCCTAGCACTTAAGTAAATACACCTTACAATTTGTCTCCTTACCTACTAGGTCCCATTTACTTGTCTCCATCTGGTGGAATACAAGCTTCTCAGGGGCTGATGAGATGGCTTATCAAGTAAAGGTGCTTGCCACAAAGCCCAAGGACCTGAGTTCGATCCTCTGAAGTCCATATAGTGAGGGAGAGAAGCAATTTTTGTAAACTGTCCTCTGACCACCACACACCCACCTTGACGTGCACACACACAAATACACGAATAAATGCAATAACCACAATTCCGGAGAGGTCCTTTGGAAGGGTGGAGGACAATGAATGTACACAGAAGGATAGACCTTTTGGAGACGAGATGAAAATCTTGGATTTACCACTGATGGCTATGTGACATAAGCATGTTAACCTCTCTGAGCCTCTTTCTACAAGTTCACAAAAATGGGTCAGTGAAGCCAGGCATGGTGGAGAACATTTATAATCCCAGAGGCAGGAGGCTGAGGTGAGAGGATTTTAAGTTTGAGGACAGCTCAGGCTACAGGGCGAGTCTGTCTCAGATCAAACAGTCAATGAGAAGAAAATGCAGGGCTGGCCGGGTTGGGGTTGAGAGGGTTGAGAGCAGAGTGCTTCTGCTTGCCTAGCACTCACAAGGGCCCCCAGGGGTCCATTCCTAGCACTGTAAAAACCAAACCAAACCAAACAAAACAAAACCAACAAAGATTAGGTAAACAGTTCTTGGCAAACAGGACTTGACAATCTTGAGGTGTGGGTAGCAGTGACAGCTCTGAGTGTTTCTGAAGTGTAGGGGAGCCCATCACAACCCCCCCAAATGTCCACCTTTATAAGGACTCGGGCCCCCATGTCTCATGTCTTTCTTAGTGTTGCTCACACTTCTGAGAACTGCCTCTGGGGGAAGCACTAACTTCCAAGGTGCACCTTGGACCCCATGCAACAGATCATATCACATAAACACTTCATACCCCATCCCACCCGCTGTCCCCTAGGTTCCTTCTAGCTGTCAGGTGGGTAAATGTTATTTTCCCCCAATTTTATAGAGGTGATTAAGGAGGAATGAGGGAGGATGGCTGAGGCAATGGCAGTATATGCCTTCCTTGTATCCTCTGGATCTGAGGTTGTACTTCGGGGTTCAGATTTGCTGAGGGGAGCAGGGATAGACTCTCAGTGTATGGCTGGAAAGCTCTCAGCACATCTTTGAAGCCATTTTCTGAACAAACAGCAGAAAATGCATGGGCTGGCAAGAGGTTTCTGTGGATAAATAGGTGCTTGCCCTGAAAGCCTGAAGGCCTGGATTTGATCCCTGGGCCCACAGTAGAAGGAAAAAGCTGGATTCTCCCAAGTTGTACTCTGACTTCCTTGAATATGTTGTGGTATGTACACATTGTGGTACATGCCCAAACTTACATATACATACATCACTTACATCATTTTTCTAAAAATACAACTTGTGGGAACCTTAAACCAATATAGAGTACTTAACATTTATGAGAACTAGGGCCAGAGCAGTCAGGGAGGCTGGGGAGCAGGGTTGGATCTTGGCCACAGGTCAGTCACAGACATTTGACATAACAATATAACCTTGGACAAGGTTCTAAGGTCCCTGGATCCCGGTGTCTACACATGGAGAAAAGATAGCTGGCGAGCTTGACAGAAGCCCAGTTTAAGCAAGACATCTGCAATCCTCATCATCATGACATTGACTTTGAAATTCACCGCCGAGAGACCCCACTGCCATCACGTCTTGAATTTCTGAAGAAGAAACAGTAATAGCTTACAGTTCTGCCAACTCCTTAAAAAAAATCAGAGAGCACAACATAGATTTTTTTCTTTTTATAATTTTGGCAGAGGAAGATGCAGTTCCTGGAAATGCTTACAAAATGATTCCTGACACTAGGAGGAGAGAGTTAAAAGAGGGGGAAAGGAAAAAGAAAACCTATCTACATACAGATTGAAAGGAGGAAGGTGGAAAGAAACGGGATAAACAAAAGAACTAAAAGAGAAAGGGGGACTTTAAAAGGGCCCCAATTCAAGGGACGTTATCAAGGTCTCAGAATCTGCGATTCACAAGCCGCTCGCCGGCTGGGGTGGCGCAGGCCCCGCCCCTATCTCGGGTGTCGGGCGTTCATTGGTGGGTGAGGCAGTCGCCGGCCGGTGACTGCCCGAGGAAAGGTTGCCTGGGACACGCATCCCTGTGTGAACGCATGACGTCCCACCCTGGCGCCAGGCTGTCTGGGGCTGAGTCTTAGATCAACACAGCTGTGGGACCCGGACCCACAGCTGGGCAAAGGAGCGGATTCCTCAACAAAAAATAGGATTGTGGGAAAAGTTCTGAAACAAAAACAGCGCAGACAAAAGCCTTAATGACATCCTTTCATAAAAATAAAAAATGCAAGAGGGGGGGAAAAAGCTGGTAAAAGGAGCAGAACTGGGAACAGAAAGTTCAGAGGCGTTTGGAGTAAGAGGCTGAGGCCCCGCCACTGCTAAACAAGTTGCAGAAGGCCGGGGCGAGCCGGCCAGTCGGCTGTGCAGGGAGCAGAGGCGTCTTTGGGGTTTAAACTCTATTCAGTGTTCCCAATCCAACCGAAACACACTCCTTTCAGACTTAGACTCTTAGATTAGAAAAGATCCTTAAAGGTCAGTTACTCCCCCCTCCTTCTCTTCCCCTCCCCCAAAGGAAGGTCCAGGAAGGAAGGATTTGTGTCCAAAGGTAAGTTCTTGGCAAGGAAAGGACAGATCTTGGCTAGATAACCCCCACCGCACCTTTCTGCCCTATCCCACACAGCCTATGGCCATTTCAGCCTAGAAGCCTCAGGAGGAAATAATAAATGCTTTGAAAGTACTTTGCAAACCGTAAACCCAGTAAACCCGCTATCCAAGCCTGAGGCAACAGAGGTAGCTCTGGAGGACTGGGAGGAGAGAGCAGACTCTGGGTGGGCTAAGCGCTAAGCACTTACCACACACCTGGCCCCATGATGAACTAACGCTGGCAGAGGGAGCATGTGTGCTTCTCAGAGAGGAGGTGTTTAATATTCTTTTCTTTTTGGAGGCAGGGTCTCACTACTTAGTCCCTGGCTATCCTGAAATGCACTGTGTAGACCAGGCTGGCCTTGAACTCACAGAGATCTGCCTGCTTCTGCTTCCTGAGTGAGGGGATTATTAAAGGCCTGTTTTTCTTTGCTCTTTTTTGTAATAAATGAGGCCAGAGCTGAGTGTAGTGGTACACCCCTTTAATCCCAGCACTAGGGAGGCAAAGGATCTCTGTGTTTGAGGCCAGCCTGATGTACACAGTGAGTTCCAGGACAGCTAGGGCTACACAGAGAAACCCTATCTCAAACGGAAAAATGGAAAAATAAACAAATACACAAACAAATGAGGTCAGTCTCATTAGCTCCACTTAACAGGCAAGAACACTGAGGCACAGAGAATAATTTGTTTCAAGTTCTCAGTTACTGAAAGAAAACAAATGAAGATTTGAACATAGGTTTGCCAGGCACTGAAGGCCATGATTTTTCCAGAAGCTCCTGGCTTGACTGTTTTGCACAAACATACAGAAGACTTCACAACTGTCAAAGAAAGGGCCCTCTGTTTAGTTGTTCGGGAGTCCTCACAGCGAAGGAGATTCCTCTTCCCATGACCAAATAGCTGGCATTTCGCTTCTTCAGCATATAGAGACTGACTTGTGTTTTCACAGGTTAGATTCCCTTTGCCTTAGACTGAAAGCGCGGTCCTTGAGAACTTTAATATTCCCAGGGGAAACCTTTCTGAGGCTTTTATTGGGATGCAGGGCCCTGTGGTGTGATGGAAAAGAACAAGGCTTCCAGACTGTCTTTACCTGTGAAGGGCACTGCGCATGTTTTATACGCCCTCTCCCAGCCCTTTGCTGTCCACATGCCCGGTCCAACTGTCACACAAGCCTAGAGCTCTCAAGTTAGAAAGTAAGTAAACAACCCCATAGTGCCATCCACCCCCCCCACCCAAGGCAATCAAAGTGAGGGTATCAGGGTTTGCTCAAGATTACATGTTGATGACCAATGGCTGGCAGAGCTGGCCGATTGAACCCAGGGCTCTGACTTCCTAGTGTCCTTCCCACTGTTGGAACCATCCCAGCTCAGAGGTCCCATTGTCCTGTTGATCAGTGCCACACACTACTAAACACTTAATTGTTTCCTGTGTTAATCTTGTCCCCGGACATTGTGAGATTCTTGAGAGCAGAAGCCTGTT